CCTCCAGGAGAACCTATCCCTTATCATCCAAGGTTGTATAAGTCAGCGTTTTTTTCCTTCTCCACTAGACTAAAAACTCCTCAAGGGCAGAGAATGTGTCTTTGTATTACAGGGCCCACTGTTACAGTTAAATGAATGAAACAGCGGGGGCTCCAACAACCCCTACCACCACCTCAACACCCCACCCTCCCAAGGTGAGGCCACACACACCCAGACAGCAGGCAGATAACTTCAAGAATTTTAGAGGAAGAGCTGGAAGTAAAAGTAAACCCACCTTCTTGGCAACTCTTAGAATTCAAAAGCAGACTACGCTAACATCAAGCTGCGGAAAGTTTCTATGAATATACTGCTAATTTTCCCCTGGCACAAAAATATTTATTTGCCCCATGAAGGTAATGATAACATTCCATCTGCACTCAATACGCACTAGTATTATTAGTATATATACTGAATCAAGAACTCACTCATATTGAAAAAAAAATCACATGGAAAGTATTGAAACTCTTTAGAGGAAAACACTAGCTAAAGGTCCTGCACCAGGCACCACTCGAGGGGCTTTCTGTGCAATTCCTCATTTAATCATCACAGCAACCCTACGAAGAAGGTATTATCATCACCTTCTCTCACAGATGAAAAAACTGAGAATGAGATTAAGTCATTTGTCCAAATCACAAAGGTAGGATTCAAGGCCAGTTTAACTCCAGAGCCCAAGCTTTAACCAACAAAAAACTACACAACACTGTTAAATGGAAAATCCAAAGATTATGTTTATGTTGTATGCACACAAAATCACACAAAACAAAACACAACATGTTAACAATGGTTATCTCCTGGGCTAAATCTGAGTGGAATGAATATGAGAATTTACTACTTTTAGCCAGAAAAAAAGCAAACAAATAAGAGAAACGGTTTTTAGATGGCGCTAACAGAAAGGTAAGGTGGGCTCGGGGAATTAATATTTAAGGAGCACCAGCTAAGAGCCAAGCACATGGGCTATCTCATCTAATCCTTACCTCAAAAAAAGGTATTTCTATTTTACAGATGAACAAACCAAAGATGAAGAAACCCAACCACTGGAAGAGCTGCGATGAGAACCCAAAGCCCAGTCCAAATTTCTGTCTGACAGTAGGAAGTCATGCTACAAATAAAAATGAACTGAAGAAAAATTTTTTGAACTGAAGAGCTGTCTTAAAAACCATCAGAACCTAGTAGCCTGGCATCTTTAGTGCAACGAGGGAAAAGAGAGGCTGTAGAATTTAATTTGAAGTTTTAGTGCAGAGTAGCTTTACACGTGTCTCAAAATAGCCAGAAGTATTGTCTAAAATCAGCATTACAGTCAGAGCTCTGGGACAAACAGAGTTACATTAGCATAAATTAAATGGGCTTGGATGTGACTCCATTGTATATGCAGTGGAGTATCTGCTTTTGGGGACAATTTGCTGCTTCCAACCCATTCTCACCTCTCTACCTATTGCTTACAAGTTACTAAGTGTGTGGGGGGAGACTGGGTTACAAGACCAAGGGACTGTTAATTGTATCCAGAAATAAATGGCCTCTCAATATCCATAACTATTGTTCCAAACCTGGATAGTGAAAGCTGCTCACCCTGGGGGAACATCTCAGATAAGAATGAATGGATCAGCATTTTTTTTTTAAATGACTTGTTTAATTCTGGGTGCTCTGACTTAGAACTTTTAAAATCCATCAAAATCAAAATTTCATTTCTCTAAGAACAGCAGTGACATGATTTGCTGAGAAAAATAGTTGGGGGTGTGGTATTCAAATTTCCTTCTACAATCTTTCAGAGGAAAGAAAAATTGATCCTTTCAGATTTATAAATCAAAATAAATATTTATTTTTGGAACTAAATATTTAAGAGTAAAAAAGTATCTCACCTTAGCAATTTAAAATTAATTCCGTATTTGCCCTGAAGTCTCTTATTCGTTTCAAATAAAATGTAGCTTTTGAAAATAAAACCCCACCATTTCTTCAGGAATAAAATAGTCCTTGAGGCAATTAAGAAATTAGCATATTTTGGAACAGGGTAGAAAAAGTACAAAACTTTTGGGATTTGTCCATATAGTTTTTTTAAAGCTTAGGAATGTGAAGTTAAACCTATATCTTTCAAACATTGAATTATGAGGCAAAGGGACTTTTTTTAAAACCTTAAAATGTTGTGCAAAGAGACTCATTGAGTGATTTCTTCCAACCAATATGCTCTAAAAATGCCAAACTACAACAGAAGTAACCATTTTGGGTACACAAGTACATAAAAACGTCCAAGTCAATAAGCAATTTCAATTAATCAATAAAGTTAAACAACCATTAAATGTAATTTGCATGTCTTGTACGCAATCCATATCATCTCAAATATCACGCCTTTCTTAAGAACAATGCTAAATGGCTGGATGTGTATCGCTGTGGAAAAAACAGAAGTAGTTTTATTCTAGGCAGACAAAAGGAAAAGACACAGTAGGACTCACAGGAGGAGCCTCACACTTCCATCCTGAGAGGAGTCCGCCTGCCCAGGTCCTGGGTTATCCATCCCCTGCTCTGCGCGGCCCCCTCTCCCGGGTACCAGTGCTCTGGGGGCGGGTGGTCAGAGGTGGCACACCCCTGCCAGCCAACTCCAGCCGGCCACCCGGCAGGACGCACACGCACACCCACCCAGCATCCTGCCCTGGGTCCACCACAAAGGGCAGGAGGTGGGGATGGAGGAGGGGGGGGAACAAACGAAAAGAGAAAAAGCACCTCTCCCCACCTGCCCATCCCGGAGGCGGGCCGAGGGGGGCAGGGTCATTAGCATCCCAACTTCCATACCAAAGAACCCCCAGAAGGAGGCTAAGTGCAGCCACAGGAAGCATCCCATCCCTGAAAACCGGGACATCTCGATTTGGGAATTTAAGTTTTCAACTAAAAAACAAAACAACAAACAAACAACAACAACAAAAAACCCTTGCAAAGCTCAGGGCACCAAAATACAGCTAACACTGAACCCGTTTAAACAGAAAGAAAGAAGAGAAAACCCGGTATCAGCGAGGCTCTGTTCCCCGAGGGCTCTCCCGCAGACCCCTGTGAGCCGCAGCGATCGCAAATGCCCTTAAAAACCCCCCACTTTCCTATCGCTGGGGTCGAACAGAAGGGATCCCCTGAATGCACATAGTTCTCCGAATAAACCCCCTGCGGATCCCCGCGCCGGGTTGCAGGAGGTGCCCTGCCCACCTCCCCTATCTCCCCATTTCTCCTGCTCCCACGCGCGCTGACAACCAGGGTTCCCCCCCCCCCGCCCCGGGGCTGTTCACGTGCTCGGCTCCCCGGACAGTGACCACACAGGACGGGAA